CCCTCGACAAGCGACACACCATCTAGGAATTTTGTATATCTCAGAGATGCTCTGATGTGCAAGTTTAAGCAATGCGTGAAGTAATGTATGGAATGCGGTAAGGTACCTTAAGGGTTCCATGTGGCTGTCTTCAACTCCCACGCGAAAAGAGCCTCGCGGATGTCGTTAGATCTGCTTTTGCGCAGCGGCAACTAACGAGATGTAGATAGATGGGAAGGACCCCGAAAATTAGATATCACCCTTGCCCAATAGATTGTTATTGGTTGGAGACAGTTCCGCACGCTGTGTAGTCACGCAGTGCGTAGCGAATCATACCTTGGGTACGATACCCGTAAGGCTACCACTGCAGATCCGATGAAGACTCGCGCCACGTGAGATATCGATCGATCTGCGCACGCTGTTCTGCCACTGCTCTGGGAAGAATACGAGCTATCTCAAAATTATTCATCGAGATTTGAGGAGCCCTGACCTTTGGCATCGATCACCTCTGCAGGCTGTAGGTTAAGGGTGACAGGGCTTGCATGTCAATGCCTATCGCAGGAGAGAGACACCCCAGGAGATGCGATAAATATCAGTATTACAGAACCTAGCGTTCACCGCTTTTACCCATATGCGTCGGTATTTTCGTAAGCCTGCTTCAAGTTCGAGCAGGGAGGACTAACGGACGGCCATGAGGTGGCTGACTACATTAGCGTGATTGTCAATCCGAGCTTTCTTTTCCTTCGTGTACCAACAAACATGCGCATCTTGACACAAGCGCAAGTTCATCTACGAATCGGCGGGGCCCCGTGCTGCTATCTTATAGTGACGGGTGGGCACAGCTGCAAGGATTGCAACGTGCAGGTCAGTCACGGTCTGTATTAAGTACTGGGATTAATCAGCCCTGCTGACATTGGACACGCTTGAACAGATGCTGCAGTGAAGTGCCAAAGGTCCTGCGGTGATCCCTCCAAGGACGGCATATGAATGCGGAGGCAATGCTCCACAACTTCCTTGCATGTACACAGTATGTGAAGGGGGCCTTGTATGCAACTGATCTGCCTTGTGTAACATAAAGCATCACATAATTTTCGACAACATGGCGGATCTAAGACATCGGTGGATAAGGGCTGAGCAGATTCGCTGAGGTATGTACTCATTGCGTAGGCTATGTAGATACGATTCGTCCGGGGTGGTTATCATCGTCTCTCACGAGTCATGTCTTACAAATATTGTCGTAATCTTTTTGCTACGAAAAGTCTCGTAACATCTGTTAGTATCCAATACCAGCAGTGACACGAACCCTTGGGAATGGCGAGTTCATACTTAATTGGTTGCTTTGTTGGCTTGGACTTGATTTCAACGATCCAAAAGCAATGCTCAGGATCATGTAGATTACTTGCAACGCGGAAGACGAATGTGCATTGTCATGTATGTGTAGTAAAGTGCCATCGATCCCCTCTGAACCGTGTCTATCCCGTCGCCTAGCAGGTTGATTCTTTGATCACGATGCTGTACTGTAGATCGCCTAGACCACTTACAGTAGCATGACCTGTCACTACTGACTCGCCAGACTCGTCATACTGGCACTTCTCCAGGATACTCTGTAGATTGTCCCCGAAATACTTGGTGCCGATCCATATGCTCTGGTTCTTGTCGTTACACCAGGTAACGGCAGTCTCAGAAAAACAGTGTTGATAGCATGTATGAGGGCCAAGCTCGTGTTTCTCGAGCTCGGGGCGGGCGCGGAAAATATCGATATCCTGCCGGATTGCTCCAGCGGGAACGGAACTGTTGCCGCTGCAATCAATATGCAACTACGATGGTATTGTGTCAATGAATCCGAATGGTCGGAGAGACCTTAGCTGGACTGACCTGGGCAGGCATGCCACCACCAAAGGCGAGGTTGGCCCTGGCTCGAAGCTTTCGAGACTCGTGAGAGGCTGATGCCCGTCGCTCCGTGGAGGAATAGGAGGTGCCTTCAAACTTCTGGAACAAGCGTTATCAACTGGTACGTACTATTGAAGCTACGCTACTCACCTGGGCAGCAACTGCCAGGGCCCATAGAACGGAACGCAGAATTGATGTGCTTCATGGTCAAGGATGGTCAGTATCCAGGGTAGCAGGCAGGTAGTTATGGTGGAGCTAGCGGTCTCGTGTATTCAGGAGAGCTTTGGTTGCACCATGGAGCTGTATCCTAGGCCTTCATGTAGCAGGAAGTAGTCTGTAGTACACCCCTTTTTACAAATTACAGCACCGTGATCTTAACCACTGCAGAGACCTATATTCACTTTTTACTCGCTATCAACATGCCATTCACTTGGGTCTTGAGCTGTAGATATATACCTAGGGATAATGATGGTTGGACGATGATCCACTGAGCTCACTCGTAATATCGAGGCGATGTACAAACAAGCGTTGAGATGAGCACGCCCTGTAGCTCTAGTCCAATTGGGGCTTTTGATTGCACGGCTGCTAAAAGAACGACTTATCTATGGACTCAACCTCTCCAAAGTCCACTGATCTTCGCCCTCCCCTTTTCTCGTGTACACGAAGCGATCATGCAACCGACTTTCGCGTCCTTGCCAAAATTCAACCGACTCCGGGACAATCCTCAAGCCACCCCAGAACTTCGGAACAGGGATATGATCATCCCCTTTGAACTTGTCCTCGGCCTCCTTGACCCACCCCTCGAGTTCTTTTCTCCCATCGTCGGCCTGCCCCTTCTCGCCTTGCTCCGCCGATGGCTGCAAGACCTGGCTCTGCCGACTAGCCCAGGCCCCAATGCGGCTTCCCCGAGCCCTTGTATCATAGTACCTCTGACTATCCTTGCCCTCCAGCCTGCTCGCCTTGCCCTCAACTCTTACCTGGCGCTCCAGCCCCTCCCACCAGAACGTGAGACTCGCCCAGGGATTACTGTCCAGATCTGCGGCCTTCCGGCTAGTACCGAAGTTACTGTACACCACAAACCCGCATGTATCGAGCTCTTTCAGGTAGACCATGCGGGCTGTTACGCGACCAGACGGCAGTGCTGCTGTGGACAGGGTGCAGGTCTCTGGGTGGGGCACCAGGTCCGATTTCTGAGCAGCCGCAAACCAAGTGTGGAATTGGCTGGTGGGTGAAGACACGTCCAAGTCCGACCGCGTCAGGATGCCCTTGGTGAATTGAGCAGCTTGGCCTTGACACTCTTTGCCGGCAGGGGCAACTGGGACACTGGTCAGTCAGGGTTGCGGGATACTGTTACTGTTACTGTGAGCTGAGGGGGAGGTACAGATTAGCTTCCTGCCTTCCTCCGTCGCGTTGAAGGCCATCTTGTGACTTGACCTCAAGAGTCGAGTTACCGTTGATTGCATTCAAGGTAGGTAGTTTCGTAATAATTTTGTTGAGCAGTAGTCAATCTACGAACAGATTTGTTGTTTGAAGAATGCCAATTTATCGGATCATGACGCATCGAACAATTGCATTGTACAGTGTGGAGCTAGATCACCTTCAAAGCTGACTACTGGGACATGGCCACAAACAACATCCAATAACCGTTCTTCTGGCTTTAATTTGAAGAAGGTTGTCGTCAACTTCCTACTGATTATGAGAATGGATATATCGTAGAGGGATGACGCAAGCCGTAAGTATGTTCGATTTGGGCTATGCCAAGCTGGACACTTTCAACAGCCTCCTTGAATGACCAAGTCTCCATCTTCACAGTGATGCACCTCTGCAGACTGGGCATTCACAGGAATGGTGTCACAGACGATGTGGATTCAAGGGCTCTCCTAGGGTTGACTGCTTAGTAGGTAGTTATTCAATTTTGCAATTTACCTACCTAGGTATCTCAACGGCAGTCCAACAACGGGTTTACACACACCTGACGCCTAACAGGATGAGTAACTAGGCGTATGAACTTGGGAACATCATGATTGTCTGAATTAAATCTACGCAGGTATACGATTTAATTTTTCTCAGTATGCCAGCCCTTCCCTAAGTATTTAGGAGTAATTACTCAAGTAATCAAGGGCGACAGTACCCAAAATATTGTCGTCGAATGAGTTGCTAGCGTCGAATCGAACTTGCTTTACGCGCCAATGTATCTGAAAATCTCAGGTTAATGATGATAACCAATGCAGACATATTTACTATCGTGTTCGAAGAGTCCGATGCTCCCACGAAGCTGGAGACCTAGGTCCCAACAAACGAAACGAGGCAACGTGGAATGTCGGTCACAGAACGATGAAGTTCCTAAGCCTCATCATCAAGACTACCACGTCTTCGATAAGAGATATCTACCTTTGAGTATGCTAACCTAGTATAACCCTACCTTTCGTGGTCCACCCGACCAGTTAGATTCCCCCAATGATTGCTCCGGTAGGAAGTTGTAAATGGCGGACTCATAGCGGAATTCTTTTGGTATTCCAATACGGCTTATTATGCCTGTTCCAGAGTATGAGGTCACCGTTTCGCGAGTCTCATCATTAGCCGAAGAGCTGCAAATGCCATGGACCGTCGCATTTCAGAAGTACTATTCATCATCAGCTAGCTCGATACATCCTAGGAAGGCCCACTTCATTATGTACAATATATCGTGCCTCGATACCTGGCGCTGTTAGGCTGTAAGTTGTATTATATGACATGTGCTAGATCGCCTAACAAAGCTTAACGGAGGGCCAAATTCACATCCACGTGGACACAGCTGAGGCAGCACTTGGTACCTGCTCAGTGTGCGTAGAGAGTCTGACTGACGTCAACGTGCTTGACTGATTGCTCCGTATCTTTGGCAGGAGCACGTATTGTGATCACCTAATATCAGCAACCTGAGATGTAAGTTAATATATCATGCCTCGGGCATAGCCTTCTCATCTGCCTATAGTCGTATATAGCCGCGAATTATATCGAATGTATTTCTAAAAAAGCTACCGTTTTATGTTGACATAAATTCAAAAAAAGTAGCAAAACTTAAAAAATCCTAGATTTTATCTTAAAAAAAAACATGTTATTTTATAGGATATCTCTAAGAAATGAAGCAAAAAGGGCCTGTCCGGGATTTGAACCCGGGACCTGTCACAATCTACGTTAGGTAGAAGGGTATTACCCGAAGCGACCTTGACTATTATTAGTTGGGGAATATACGGTATAGATACAGGGCTACGAACAATCATACGACTAGACCAACAGGCCGATGTGAGTTGGCAAAATTCGGCTTATGCATGGCTCTACCTCGTACGCCAACATGTTGGAAGTGTGCCATTGTCGGAAGGATCGTCTCCGCCTGCCTGTCGAGATTGAGAGCTTCAGCTGTGGGCTCTGTGTCCTAAGGAATAAATGAGACATGGCCGAACACACTCTAGGTCTTCGGCGGTTACCTGCCATATCTGTGCTCCGGTGCCGATACTCCAAGCTAGCCGAGATACTGTGGTTTGTGTGTGTCCCATATCGATAACCCCGTTTGGTGAATAAATATGAATAAAACTACATGTACGGATGTACGCGCTTTAGATCCCTGACCGTGACGGACTGGGAGGGTTGCTTTCACAAGCTTCTACCCCGTATTCCGCACTACCTCGTGTGTACCTACCTAATGCTCAGGCGAAACGTTTCTGCCCTGTCTTAAGCGCATGCCGCTCGTCAACAACCTCGACTCACCTTTACACCACCCAAAAGTTTGGAAGTGGTAACCATGAGCTTTCTTAACTCTCATTGAAGTCAGACCAGTGTCAGCGCCTCCGAGGCTACAGCGTCGACCATAAACCGCACGCAATGCCCACAACCTACTCAGAGGCCAGCCGACGACATGTTCTTGTCAAGTCTCCTCGGAGCCTCAGGGCGAAGTAACCCGTCAAGGTCAAAGTCATGGAGCAAGGCTAACCCTGAAGAAACTCCGACCCGCCCCCGAAGCCCCGATCCGTCCGCTTCCGTGTACATCTTCGATGAGTCGCAATTGCGTCCTAGCGAACCTCCTCCGGAGAGAACGCTGGATCTGAACAGGAGCTTGGAAATACTGGCCACCGTATTTCCAGACGTACAGATCGAAGTGTTCAGAGAGATGCTCTCCAGCTTCTCCGAGGAGTCGAGGCTGGCCGTAGTTGCCGATGCCATGTTGAAAAACCCAGCTGGATACGTGAAGGGAAGGAGAAGGCTTAGGGATGCGCAGAGAGGCAGGCAAGAGTTTACAGGAGAAGCAGCAGCTCCGGTCCCTAAAACGGAAGCTTTTAGGGGGGAAGAATACAAGATGGCAGTGCGAGGCTTGGCATTGCAAGAGTTCAAGGGGCTGTCAAGATCCGCGATTAACGCTGTGCTATCCGAGACGAACTATTCATATATGGACGCCCGGCCAACGCTGGTTGTCCTATCGACGAAGTCATGGAAGTTCACGATCCAGTCCATCTTCTTCCGCCGAAGACAGGTTACGACTGGTGAAGCCGAAAATCATCCATTGGTCGTATGGAGATCCTCAGGCCAGGGGTCGATCATTCCTACTCTAAGGGCAACCGGCAATGCGGAGCTAGACAGAGAGCTATTCGAAGAACTCATCATGCCTTTGAAGAGACGGGAGGCAGCTGTGAGAGAAGAGCGCGATCGCAATCTTGCTTTTAATCTGCATAACCAGGAAGCCGAGGCTTGTGAAGCTACTTACGAATGCGCTTGTTGCTTCTCGGATGCTACCTTTGAGGAATTCACGACCTGCAATGTTGAGGGACATATGGTCTGCTTCCGTTGTGTCCAGCATTCGATCACCGAAGCGGTCTTCGGGCAGGGATGGCAGCGAAGCATCAACAAGGATACGGGAACGCTCCGCTGTCCGGCCGTTTCGTCCAAAGAATGCGAAGGTTGTGTATCAGCAGAGCATATCCATCGCGCCATGCGAGAGGAAAAGAAAGGCGCCGAGATCCTGCGCAAGATGGACCAACGCCTAGCAGAGCACGGTCTCCTATCAAGCGAGCTTCCCCTGGTAAGATGTCCGTTCTGCAATTATGCGGAAGTCGACGACCTGTATGTACCAGCTCAACGGAGGAGACTGAGGTTACGTGCGAGTAACATCCCCAACATCATACTCTTACTATTCGGCGTCTTGCTTCTACCCCTCTCAATCCCAATCATCCTGCTCTCTATCGGCGCTTTCATGCTGTACTGTAACAACATGTTCAGAAGCTATGTCGCCGTGCATTTAAAAGCCGCCATATCTCGCTACCAACGCCGACGGATTGGTCTCAAATTCGCTTGCCAGAACCCAGACTGCTGCCTCGCATCCTGCATGTCTTGTTCCAAGGCCTGGGTCGACATCCACGTTTGCCACGAATCTTCTCTCGTCGCTCTGCGCACACAAGTCGAACAGGCCATGTCCATGGCGATCAAGCGCGTCTGTCCCCGCTGCAACACATCCTTCGTCAAAACCGCCGGCTGTAACAAGCTCACGTGCCCCTGTGGCTACAAGATGTGCTACGTTTGTCGCAAGGACATCGGGGCCTCGACTGAGGGTTACCAGCACTTCTGCCAGCATTTCCGGCCCGAGGGCGATGGCAGGCAATGCACCGAGTGCAACAGGTGTAATCTGTGGGAGGCGGAGAACACGGACGCTATCCTACGCGAAGCGAAAGTCGAAGCGGAGCGGAAGTGGCGGGAGACGGAGAGGAGAGAGCTTTCTGGGGCGGAAAGAGCGTACCTCGAGACGGGAGTAGCGACGAAAAGAGATGATATCGTCAGTCGGCTCGTTAGCGGCGGTAAGATGCCTACTACGGACGAGATGTGCGACTGGATTGTGGAGTCGTTGTTTGTGGTGGGTATGTAACGTTTGGTATTTCCTAGGGATTCGAAGTAAATTGGCCGGACTGGGCTTCTCGGTAGCATCCTATGGGCAGGAAAGGAAGGAAAGGGGCATCGGATCAAAAGACGTCACCGCAAAGTGGTACGGCGTGGTATACCCCATACATTGAGACAGCATCATACATGCAAATCACGCAGAAGGCTCTGCCGGTAATACTATCTGGACTTTTATCAATGCATTAAAAACTCCGTCCTAAACAGGAACTGTTATCGTCACGTAATAGTCATTTACTTCTACAATATCCCCCATTCCTCCGTCGAGGACTAGGTTTGTAAATCATACCTTGTTCTGTCGAATCCTCTCCGCTTCCATCAATCGACTCAAACCAGCTCCGCAGCCGCTCCTGAGATAGCCATCTTACCTGTCTCCTTGACTTTAGTCTGGAACAGGACCTTACCGTCTTCCTTCCACATTTCGGTAATCAATGTCTCCCCGGGTAGCACGGTGCCCGCGAACCGCACCTTGATATTCTTGTAGGGCCCAAATTTCTCGTAGACGGCCTTGCCGGCGATACCCATGAAGCAGAGCCCGTGTAGGATGGGTCGCTTGAAGCCACCCATCTTGGCGAAATTAGGGTCGACATGGAGAGGGCTGGGGTGCGCACGTTAGTGAAGGTGGCTCGAAATGAAATAGCGACAAGGTTCCGAGTCTTGGAGAGGCCAAGGGTAGAGAAGGGAAGGGGGGACATGACGGAAGTAGAAAATGCGTACTTGTAATCACCGCTCAACCGATAAACGGCAGCCTGCTCCTCCGTGGTCTTCTCCTCGACCACGACGTCCGGCATCCTCTTGGGCGGTACGTTGGCAGACGTAGCAGCCCCGCGATCTTGTGGCTTCTTCGGTCCACCGAATCCACCGCAGCCTCTCAGGAACACAGTCGACTCGTTGTAGAAAAGTTCCTCGCCATTCTCCGCGTTGACAGTGGTCACACCTCCCTTCAGGATGGCGGCGGATCCCTTGTCAACCACCTCGATCAACTTGGCAGTGCTCTTGGTCTTGGCCGATGTGGGGATGGGGTATTTCTTGATCTCGAGGTACTGCTCGCCGTGCAGCAGCATCATTGGGTTGAAGTTGGGTACAACCTTGTCCATACTGTATGGAGTGTCGACGTCGAAAGCCGGGATGACACCGAATGTCGGTAGGACCTGGAAGTCTTCGTGACCCTCGAAGACATATGCCAAGTCTGTTCGCTTGGCGCCGATACCTAGGTTGTAGAGCATGCTATCACGATCACTGTAACTGAACTCGGTCTCGAGAGATTTGGTGGATTGCGCTTTGGCGATGGCTTGTAAGTACTCATTATCACCCGATGGAGCAGGGGAGGATTGAGATTGGTTCTTCTAGTTTTACAATGTTAACATCCTTCATTCTCTACTACGATGTACATATATAAATGAGCAGGGGCAGAGAGGATACAGGCCTCATACCTTGGTCGCCCCGCTCTTGTTCTCGATATTCGCCATAACCTTCTGTAACCCGTCTTGGGCCTTCTCTGGATGGTCTGCACGACCATCCTCAAAGTTGACGATCTTTTCCCATTGCTTGAGGACGGCTTCAGGGGTCAGTGGCACGTCAACGGGAAAGGCAGCGCCTCCCGTTCGTTGCCACCTGGTCTGACCACACCAGCCACTGCCAACCTCATAAAGACCACCTGTCGGGTTCTTTGGCACCTTGTCGCTGCAAAGAGCCAACACGAGCGGGGCTATGTAGTCAGGCTTGAAGGCTTGCACCAGCTCCTCAGGGAGGATGGTCGCGGTCATGGCGGTACCAGCGTTAGGTGCAATTGTGTTGGTGTAAATGTTGTACTTGTGACCTTCGAGGGCAAGTGCTCTGCCGAAGCCCAGGATACCACATTTCTAGGCCTCAGTTAGTGCATTCTCCTTATTGCACCGAGGGCTATTATGACTTACCGCCGCAGCATAGTTGGCCTGTCCAAAGTTACCGTAGATACCACTCGTGGAAGTTGTATTTACAATACGACCATACTTCTGTTTGAGTAGGATAGGCCATGCTGCCTTTGTGATTTTATATGTCCCTCGGAGATGAACGTTCAAGACTGGGTCCCAGAGATTGTCGTCCATGTTGGTGAAGGCCTTGTCTCGCAAAATACCGGCGTTGTTGATGATGATATCAATGCGGCCAAAAGCATCCATGGCCGCCTTGACGACGACATCACCATCCTCGGCGGAAGCTTTTACACCAACAGCCTTACCACCCAGACTCTTGATCTCACCAACGACAGTGTCAGGGTTCATCAGATCGTTGACAACAACCGACGCACCGGCTTTGGCCAAAGCGAGAGAGTATGCTCTGCCAATACCGGCACCACCACCTGTCACCAATGCTACGCGACCCTT